GGCCGGGCCCTCCTCCTCCTCCTCCTCCTCCGCGAGGGCCGGGCCCGGGGGGACGGGGCAGGTCTCACTCAGGCCGTTGGCTGCGCGGTCCCCGGAGGGGCCCGGCTGCTTCTTGGTGGCTTCCCCCGAGCACTCCAGGCGGCAGGGCAGGGTACTGTCATCCATGTCTACAGGCAGACCGGGCGCGGGCGCCGGGGCCGGGGCCGAGTCCAGTGCAGCCGGGGGTGCTGGGCTCAGAGGCGTCAGGTCCCAGAGGCTGTGGGCGGACGGCTGCCCGCCGGGGCCCGGCTCTCCGGACCCCCGGGCTGTGGCCTCTAGCCCTGGGGGGAAGCGCTCGGCCACGCTGGACATCACCGGGGTGGTAGCCTCGGAAGACGAGCCTTCAGACAGGGCCGGCGAGGCGGGTCGGGTCAGATCGGAGAGGAGAGGGACCCCGGGAGAGCTGGGGGATGGGAGCTGGGGCAAGGAGGAGTCCAGGCTTGGGGCCTTGGTCACTTCTAGGTACTCATCGTGCCGGGCTCTAGCCGGGGGTCCTGGAGCCAGAGCCAGAGCTCGGTCTCCGGAGAAAGCAAGGGAGCCGCAGGGTGCGGAGCGGGGCTCCGCTGGGGAGGGCAGCTGCGGGGGAGCGGGCTGCAGGGAGGAGAAGCCGAAGGCCGAGGCCGGGAAGTCCAGGCTGGGCCGGGAAGGACCCAGGTGTGAGTCTGAGGGAGGGCTGGGAGGCGCCTTGGTTTCAGGCCACAGTGTTGGGGGACCCGCAGGCGCCGGGTGAGGGGGACTCGGGGACTGAAGCTCTTTCTCTGGCTGTTCCCGAGCCCCCTTCTCCAGCTCAGAGTCACTAGTGCTGTCATCCCAGTGACCGGGGCCTGATTCTTTGGGGGACGGGGTCCTCCTGTCTGGGCTGTGGCTGAGCAGGTTACCATTAGGAGGGGGGGAGCGTGGGCCTTTGCTCGGTGGAATAGGAGCTCGGGGAGGAATTGCGGGTGGGCTGAGGCTGCTGGCCTCTGCCGCGCTTGGCCCGGGTGGTTCCAGCTCTGGCCTGGGAGGTACGGTGGGTCCGGCCAGGGCTGCGTAGCTAAAGGCTGGGGTGTCCGATTGGAGGCTCTTGGGCGAGACAGGAGAGGAAAGCTCCTTCTCTGCGGAGGTGTTCCAGCCAGCAGCCTCCTCCTTGCTGGACAGGCGCGGGGGCCAGTCCCCAGCTGCTCCCAGTGGCGGCTCCCTGGTGGGGCACGCGGGGCCCAGCCCGGTGAGCATCATCTGCTCATAGATGTCCGCATACTGAAAGCTTCTCTCGTCAGGGTAGGGCGTGGGCTCTCTCTGCTCCGGCTCGGTGGTCTGTTCTGGATCTCTGGTGGCCTGGCTGGCACTGGCCTCGGGGACTTTGGAGCCGTAGGGGTTGATGGCTGGATCTCCGGGAGCAGTCTCACTTTCTTCTTCCCTTCCCCCTTCGGCCTTGCGGTAGTCCTTCCCCAGCGGGGAGTACGGCCCACCTTCCAGCTCAGCTGCCCCTTCTTGTACTGCGGCCACCACACTGTCATATTCAGCCATGCCCCAGGAGAAGGGCGCCGGGGTCCGCGGTTCTGGAGCGGGTGTGGGGGGAGCTGGAGCTGGAGAGAGGGGTGCAGGGGGCAGGGGCCTGTCTTTAGGTACCCAGGGTGGGATTTCAGCCAGCCACGAGGGGGTGGTGGGTTCGTTCCTCGTGGGGGGCAGAGGCTTGGTCTCTGGGGTGGGGCTCTCTTGTCCTGGGGCTGGAGGAACCCTCTGTCCAACCATCTCAGGTGGAGAGGTGGGAGGGGAGATGATCTCAAAGGGAGAAGGTGTCATTTTGTCCTCTTCTTCGGGTGGCAGCTCTACTGGTGACTCAGCAAGCCAGCGCTCCACCTCTAGCCCCTTCTGGGGGGGGATCTCCTGGAAATCCTTGAAGTCTGAGGCCCAAGGGCTCTGGGGTGTATGCTGCAGTTGGGGTGCTTGTTCATCTGGGCCTTCGTCGAGGAACGTGCTCTCTCGCTCCTTGGTGTACCGTGGGCTGCCTCCCTGGCCATCCAGCTCATGGGGGAACCAGACCTTCCTCTCACAGCTCAGCTCTCTCCAGTATGCATCCTGGTCCACAGCCACATCTCTGTCCTGCCAATACCTGACCTCTTGCTCAGCAGAGGTGCCTTCCCAGGACGGGACGGGCTCTTTCTGCTCTCCAACCGGATCCCCTCTGGTGGGAGTTGTTTCTCGCCACCCCTGGAGCACATCCTGCTCCTTCTGGTACTTCTCTTCCTGTACTTGGGCCTTGCCTTCTTCCTCCATTGGGCTCTCTTCCAGCCTCAGGGCTTTGGTTTTCTCCAGAACAGCTTCTTCTTTTGGCTCCGCAGGCTTGGCCTTTTCTGGAGATTTCTCCTCTAGGATTGCTTCCTCTGGTTTCACAGTTTTACCTTCCTGCACAAAGCTCTCCCGCTCCTGAGTTTTGTCCTCCTCCAGAGCTTTGTCTTTCTGTTCAACAGTTTTAGTCTCATGTTCCAGAACTTGATCCTTCTCTCCTAAGGCCCAGTATTTTTGCTCCAAGGCCTGATCTTTCTTTTCTAAGACTTCATCCCTCTGTTCCTGGACCTTGTCTTTTTGTTCAGGGCTTCTGTCTGCCTGTTCTAGAACTTGACCTTTGAGTTCAAGGACCTTCTCTACTGGAGACTTGTCCTTAGGTTCAAGGTCTTGCACTTTTTGTTCTAAGGCCTTATCTTTCAGTTGTAGGGTCTGATCTTTCAGTTCCAAGACTTGGTCTTTTTGTTCTGCATCTCTGTGTTTTTCTCCTTTGTCTTTTGGTTCGAGGGCCTGCTCCTGTTTCAGGGCTGTGTCCTTTCGTACTGTGACGTTGTCTTTCTCTTCTAGGATCTTGTCCTTCTGTTCCGGGGCCTTGTCTTTTTGTTCTGAATCTTTGTCTTTTGATTCCACAGGCTCATCCTTCTGCTCTAGAACTGCCTCCTTTTGGTCTATGTCTCTGTCTTTTAGTTCTAAGGTCTTATCCTGCTTTCCCACAACCTTGATTTTTTCTTCTACAGCCTCGTCTTTCTGACTTGTGGCCGTAGCCTTTTGCTCTACCACGCTCTTCTGCTGCAGAACTTGGTCTTTCTGCTGTAGGACTTCCTCCTTTGGCTCAGGCTCCTTGTCCTTCTGCTCTGGAGTTCTGTCTTTCAGCCCAGGGATCTTACCTTCCCATTCCATGGCAATGTCCTCCATCGCAGGGCTTGACAAAGACTCGGGACTCTTGGTGAGGGAGCTATGGGGGGTCAGAAGGTGTTCCCCGGGGCTTGTGATCACCTCGGGCAAGCGGTTCCCATCTCCTGACAGTGCAGAGGGAGAGAAGGATCCGGCAGGCCTTTTCCCCTCAGGGCTCTTCTCTGTATAATCAGCCTGTACGGAGGATCCAGTGGTCCCATCTGTGGGAGGGGACATGGTGGCGGCATGAGGCTCTGGAATAGACGCAGGAGCTTGGTAAAGAGACGTGTCCTCAGCCTGCATCAGAGGTCCCCTTTCTTCCTTTCCTAGGCTTAGTTCTCCAAACTGGAGGGTGCCAAGGCTCTCTGGAGAGAGTTGTTTTGAAGAGATATCCAACGAGGTCTCCTTACTGGGACTCTCTTCTGAGAAGGAAAGCGATTGGGTGTCTTCTGGAGACGCCTCGGGCCAGAGGCCTTTGTGCCCGGTCAGGCCATAGGGAGCCTTGGGAGCGGCCTCTTGTTTGGCAGTGTCTGGGGAGACCACGCTGAGGACAGACAGGGACTCTGCATCTTCAGGAGAGAGGCTTCGGTCACGCGCCTCATCTTTCTGAGGTTCACCAGGTTCCTGGAGCGATGTCGTCAATTCCCTGGGAAGGGCTTCCGTACCCAGAATTGGGTCTGGAAGCCCAGATCCTGCTTCCATCGTTTCAAAAACTATGGCTTTGTTCTGTTCTGGTAACAGCTGAATGGTACAGCCTGTGTGTCCCTCAGCCAGGCCAACAGGCGCTCCCTGGGCCTGGGGGCTCCTGGGAGGAGGTAGCGTCGCCTCCTCTCGTGTGCTCTCTTCGGGCTCTGGCTTGACTGCTTCCTTCGCAGCTTCTTCCTTGCCCACGCCGGGGGGAGGCTTAGTGTCTCCCCAGGAGTCTTCTTGGAAGTCTTGGGGCTCAGACTTGTCTTCCACTGGCGACTGATGGAAGGGTGTGTGGGTGGCACTGGGTGGACCAGATGGCGGAGGGGAAGCCATCTTTACCGTGCTGTCATCCGGGCTAAGGCACCGTTCCTCTGCTTCTCCAAGGGCTGGTTCCCCTGGCTGTAGGGCTTGCCCGGGGGTACCAAACCCTGGGCTTCCATATGGGCTGTGACGTTTCTCAGAGAGCTGTAGGTCTGCCCTCTCCTCTTCTTCTCCCGCAGCTCTCTCCCCAGTCAAGCGTCTCCCTCCCACGTCTCCTCTCTTCTCTGACTCTCCGGTGACAGAGAAGTCCTCACAGGGTGGTGATTTGAAGCCTTTGTCTTCTTCCAGCGAAGAGGTCGGTGAGATAGTGCCAGCCGATGGCACGTAGTCCAAGCCCTGCGTGGCCTCGGTGCGGGAGGAGGGGATGCTGGTGACAGTGTCCAGCAGCAGGGAACTCTTGCCTGTCTCCTCTGTCTGGGGCGCTGTGAGCGAGGCCACAGACTGGTCCTCAGCCACCGACGTGGCGAAGGAAGAGAGCTTGTCGCACTCAGTGATGGAAGTGGCTGAGGACACGTGCTCCTCTTCAGCCAGAGGGGCAGCCACCATGTTGGGGGGGTAGGTGAGTTCTGTCTCGGGTGCCCCGTAGCCTTTGCTGGGGGCAGCAGGGACGGCACTCTGTGCAGGCTGGCTGGCTTCAAAGGGGCCTGGACCTTCAGGACCAGAGAGGTCGTACATGCTGGTAGGGAATCTGGCTGGCGCCGGGCGCTCCTCTGGCTCATCATGAATCTCTTCATCCGAGATGGTCTGCTCAGTTTCTGAGTAGCCAGGGATCGTCTCGTCCTGGATGTAAGAGACATGCTCAGCGGCTCCTGCAGGTGTGGCCAGGCTGCTTAGGAATGATGAGGTCTCCTTCTCGGGGGCCTTCCCCTGGAGTCCCAGGTCCCGGCCCCCAAGAACCTCCCTGCCTTTGGGGATTACCTTCAAGGCTTCCTGCATGTGTTTTTGGTAAAAACTCTCAGCCTTGGTCTCTTCCTCTTCCTCCTCGTCGGAAGGGTGAGCCTCCTCCATTTCTTCCACCTCAGCCTTTTCTATCACATCCTCCTTTACCTCGGGTTCGCTCTCCTCTCTGGCTTCAGCTCTCTCTGGAAGCTTCTCTGTTTCCTTCTGCTTCTTTTCCTCCCAAGTATCTTTTTCTTCCTCTGTTTCAGCCCCAGAGTCTGGGCCTTTGTCCTTGCTGCCTTGTTCCTCGGGGATGTCCGGGGTGATCTCTTTCCCCTTGGTCACGTGCTCTTCTGGGACGGTGGGTTGTGTTCCCTGCACGGCTGGGCTTGGGGGTCCCTCCTCTGTCGTACCTGCGGGCAGTGGTTTCTCTCCTAGTCCCGTGTCCCTCTGTTCGGCCTCCTCCCGCTTCATCTCCTCAAAGTCCTGTGTGAGATCCTCTGGTGAGGAAAGAGCCAGCTCCCTGTGTCCGCTGACAGTGGGTGGTGGTGCAGCCCCTTTCTGGGCTGGGGGTGTCCGGGGCTCAGACGACAGATCTTTCTCTCCACGAGAAACTCGGTTCTTGTCTACCTTCATTCTCCCCGGGGCCTTGGCTTTGTACAGGGTCTTCCGTACCTCAGGTGTGAAGGGCTTCAGGTCGGGTTTGGAGATTTTCTTGATCTCAGGTTTGGCATCTTTCCTCTTCTCCTCCTTCTTGGCATCTTTCTTCTCTTCCTTTTTCCCTTCATCCTTTTTGAGCTCCTTCCTCTCTTTCTTGATCTCTTTTTTCTCCTTGTCTTTCTTCTCTTCCAGCTTGGAGATCTTCTCTTTCAGGTGCTTCTTCCCTACCTTGTCCTTGATCAGCTTTCGCTTCTCTGCTTTCAGGGCTTCACTTGACTCTGTCCGTACCCTCTCGGGCCTGGCAGGCTTCTCTGGGGGCTTCTCTGAGGACTCTTTGGCTTTCTTCTCTGTTTTGGCTAACTCCTTGGCCAGTTCAGAGCGGGCCTCCTTGGCTCCCTCTTCTGCTACTTCCTCCCGCTTGGCCAGCTTGCTCACTGCGGTCTTGGGAGCAGCTTTGAGGCTCTCCTTGCTGTCAGCGCGCTGTTTGATTTTGCTGGGTTTCAGGTTGGCAGGCACGGCCCCAGCAGCCAGATCCTTCTGTGTGGCCACAGGGTAACGGAGGAAGTCCAGGTGGCGAAGCTTTTCCAGACCCTCCAAGATCTTGTTCTGAGGTGCGTTTCCTGGAAAGAGCACACGCACGATCTTCTCAGTCGGGTTGGCGGGTAGCCAGACCACCAGAGCAGTGATAGAGGTCAGGTAGGGCACGGAGATCTCAGCCTCCTTCCCATTGGCCAGCACAATGCCTGTCTTGGCCTTGCTATTGCCCGCCCACTTCTGCATGAGGAACTGCATCTCCTTGCTGTCCTTGACGGGGTTGAGGACGTACATGTCCAGCCGGCCCACACCCATTTTGTGGAAGAGGGTCAGTGGTTCAATGGTGTTGCTGACCACCCGGTACAGAGGCTCGGCCTGAATGCCCAAGCGGTTTAAGTGCTGAAGCGTGAGGCAGGCCTCCTCAATGCTGCGCTTGGCCTTTCGGGAGGCATCAGGCAGCCGTAGCTTATCTGGCACATTGAAGAAGACGACTCCAAGCTCGGGGGAGATGAGGTTCTTCACCCAGTCGCTGTAGCTGCTGGAGCCCTGGGACTGCTCCTCCTCTAGCTCGGCCACTTTGCGCTGCAGGAGTCCATTGATGCCCGGCAGATTGTCTGCCCCAATGTGCGTGAGCAGCACCGAGTCGATGCGGTCCAGGTGCCGCACCAGCTTCCAGAAGCAGGACTTGCGATCAGAACCGCCATCCACGAGGATGTTGAAACCATTGACTGCAAAGAGGGCCGAGTCCCCGCGGCCACCCGGGAAGATGTAGCAGCAAGGCTTAGAGAGCTTGAGGAAGCCCCCAGAGGTGGGGGGTTCCAGCAGGTCAAAGGGGGATGGCACGTCCACCGTCTCGGAAACGTACTCGGAGAACTCAGCCACACCATCCATGGTGGGTAGCATGGGCTCGGGGTTCAGCCGGAGGTGCAGGGTCTCTTGGGAACTGGAGAGTCCCAGATGGCTCCAATCACCCTCCCCTAAGCAGGACACAGTGAGGAAGGCCTGGGTCCCAGGGTCTCTATTGCTGAGCAATTGGGCAATCTAGAGGAATGGGAGATAGATAGATAGATAGAAGCTAATCAGGTCACAGAGGATTGTCTTCGCCTGACTCTTTTAATTTGCACCTCTCTTCAAAGTCAATTGACTCCTATTTTCGGATGGTCAAGCAGTATTAAGACTTGCTCTCCACCGCTCAAGTCCCGATCCTTAGCTCTTTCCTTTGGAACTTACCTCTGGGCTATGAAGGACCTGGGCAAAGTTTTGGTAGGAGTAGGTACCACTCTGGAGAATGAGGTCTCCCCCAGGCTCTAAACTTTGTCCACTTAAGATCAGTAGTTTGTGAGCTGATGGACTGCTAAGAAGATGGCGAACCTGGAGTGGAAGGAGAGAAGCAGTGTCACGGATGTGGGGGAAAACTCAGGGAAAGGCAAAGACCATTCTTCATCTCCCCCCACCTTGGAAACGTAAGGAAAGACTCCCCACTGGTATTTCCCCACAACGCCTCCAAAGTGGGACCAGCGGTGGTCAGTCAGTTTTGATGGTAGACAGGAATTTTGGGTCTTACAATGGTGGCACTTAATAGTGTTCTTAAAATTCTAGCACTTAGAGCAGGCCTCTCAAGCAAGGCCTAGGCCCTTGGCCTTACCTCAGAGCTGATGCTGTCCGCACTGGGGTTGACCAAGACGATGCTCTCTAGGGTCTCACTCTGATGGCAAAGGGTCCTCTGGCCTAAGAGAGAGATGTAGGAAATTGTATTCAAGAGAACAGGTGTCGGGTGCCGGTGGCTCATGCCTGTAATCCTAGCTACTCAGGGGGCTGAGATCTGAGGATCACAGTTCAAAGCCAGCCCCAGCAGGAAAGGCCATGAGACTCTTACCTCCAATAAACCACTCAAAACCAGAAGTGGTGCTGTGGCTCAACTGGTAGAGCACTAGCCTTGAGCTGAAGAGCTGAGGGACAGCGCCCAGACCCAGAGTTGAAACCCCAGGACCGACCAAAAAAAAAAAAAAAAAGAAAGAGAGAACACGTGCTGTGTTGGGCAGGAGAGAAAAGGATACATGACTAGAAAATGGGGCTTAGGGCCAGGAGTCAGTGGCTCACTCCTGTAATCCTGTGTACTTGGGAAGCTAAAAAGAGGATGATTGCGCTTTAAGGCCAGCCTAGGCAGAAAGGCTTGTGAGACCTCGTCCCCCTCTTCAACCCATAACTGGGTACAGTGGTGCACTGCTTGTCATCTAAAACTATATGGGTGGCTAAGATTGGAAAGATCACAGTGATAGGCCAGCCTGGGCAGAAGGGAAGGGTGGTGTATGCCTGAAATCCCAGCCCAAAGTAGGCAGATAGCAGCACTGTCATGTGCCTGGGTAAGAAGTGGAACCCTGTACTAAAAATAACCAGGAAAAAAAAGAAACCTGGGCTGGGTGCCGGTGCCTCACGCCTGTAATCCTAGCTACTCAGGAGGCTGAGATCTAAGGATCATGGTTCAAAGCCAGCTCGGGCAAGAAAGTCAGTGAGACTCTTATCTCCAATAAGCCACTAGAAAAACAGAAGTGGTTCAGTGGCTCAAGGGCTTGCCTTGAGCTTAAGAGCACAAAGGAAAGTGCTCAGGCCCAGAGTTCAAGCCCCACGACTGACAAAAACAAAAACAAAAAAAACCCCTGGAAGCCTTGTGCCGTGGTTCACGCCTATAACCCTAGCTACTCAGGATACTGAGATCTGAAGATTGTAGTTCAAAGCCAGCCTGGGAAGGAAGTCTATAAGACTCTTATCTTTAGTTAATCACCAAAAAACCTGAAGTGAGCTGCAGCTCCAGTGGTAGAGCATTAGCCTTGCACAAAAAAGCTCCGGGACAGCACCTGGGCTCTGAGTTCAAGCCCAGGATTGGCACCAAACAAAGCACAGCTGAAGGCATGGTTTAGTGGTATACCACCAACCTAATAAGCACAAGGTCTCCGTGTCAAAAACCAGTGTAGGGGCTTGGATGTAGCTCAGTGGCAAAGTGCTTGCCTAGCAAGTGCGACATCCTGGGTTCAATCCCTAGTACCCCCCAAAGAAGTAGTTTAAAAAAAAGCGGGGTGTTGGTGGCTCACACCTATAATCCTGGCTTCTTAGGAGGCTGGGATCTGAGAGTCATAGTTCAAAGCCAGGTGGAGCAGGAAAGTCAGTGAGACTCTTATCTCCAGTTAACCACCAGAAAACTGGAAGTGGTGCTGTAGCTCAAGTGGTAGAGTGCTAGCCTTGAGCTGAAGAGCTCAGGGACAGTGCCCAGGCCCAGAGTTCAAGCCCTATGGCTGACCACACACACACACACACACAGTAGAGTGGTAGAGTGCTTGCCTAGCATGCATGAAGCCCTGGGTTCGATTCCACATGACCACATAAACAGAAAAAGCTGGAAGTGGCACTGTGGCTCAAGTGCTAGAGTGTTACTTGAGCACAGACAGGCTCAGGGACAGAGTCCAAGCCTTAAGACAGGCAGAAAGAAAGAAAGGAAGGAAGGAAGGAAGGAAGAGAGAGAAAGAAAAAAAAGAAAGAAGAAAGAGAAAAGAAAATAGGACTGAGAGAAAGGAGAAATCAGGTTAGCTGTAGACCTGCCTCCTTGGATACTGCTGAGTAAGACCTAGAAATGGGCTCCCTCAGCCCTTCCTTTTAGGGCTTCCGCCTCCCTCTCCTCACTGGCTGTCTTCTTCCTCCCTTCATCTATGCACCCTCCTCTGCTCAGGCCCCCACCCCTCTGCCTGGAACTCTGTCCTGTTGACAAGAAGCTTTTGTCCCTCTGGAGCACTAAGCTCCTGGCGCTGCCTGGGGATGGTGGGGGCTCAGCTGGAGAGGACTCCCGGGAGGATGGTTCTTTCTCAGTTTTCTCCTCACTGGTTTGCCTTTGCCCTAGGCTTCTGAATGAACAGAAAGTCTACAAAATGAGGAGATGGGGAAATTCTGCCTGGGGTCTCCAGACTCCCCATCCTCCTTTCCAAACCCCGTCCCCTTTTCAATCCCAAGGATCTACAGGACCGTAACTTCCAGTTTTGCTTTCTGGCTCCTCACTAGCCAAGCCTGCACCCACGCCCCTGCTTCCAACCCACTGCCAAAGGTTTCCCAGCTGCTCCCACCTTCCCTTCCTCCAGAGAGACCTGACTCTACCTCAAAGTCCATCCCTTGTGAACCATTTCTCCCTTTATCCTTCCCCCACTCTGGATATGGGGAGTAAGGGGCTGGCTCACAAATAACATAAATCAGGAAGGAAAGGGTTGGAGTTTTCCACAGACACTGGAGAAAAAGGAGAAGACTTCCCCAGTCCCCTACTGAGCTATGGGTTGCTTTTATCCAGGCCAGCAAGAAACACGAGGCAGTGCAGCAAAGCAAGTGGAAGGTCAGCCAGATGCTGAAGGAGGATGCTGCCCTTCCCCTCCACCCCTTCCCGATTACAGATACAGTGCAGACTCCAACAGATGGGCTGGGGAGTGGGCTTTCTGGAAGAGATTGGTGGGAGGGCTCATAATCTGTTCTCGAAACCCTCTCCTATAACCTATCTCTCTTTTCTTTCTGAGGCTGGGACCAAAGGAGTCCAGGACCAGGGTCTATTGTGAAGAGGAAAGCCACCATGCCAGGACCCCTTAGATGAGACAGGAAAGGCCCCCAGATACAGTTGGTAGACAAGGAACTATGGACAATGGTCAGAAGACCAAACCCCATTCATGGTGTGTTAGGCCCAAAGCAGTTCAAGGGTTCTCTTGTATGAACTTGAGAATGGGGGGGGGTGCTGTCGGGGAACTTTGAGGCTAGTCCAAGGGACAAAAGCCACTTCAGTGACTCAGGCAATCCAGGCCTAGGGCAGCTAGGGAATCTAAGGAGTTACCAGCCTTAAGTAGATTCAGATTTACAAAGGCAAGGATTCCACCCCCCCCACACACACACACGAGTGACACTTTTGACAGTGGACTAGAAAGAAAAAGAAATATCCATGGCACAAATTGATCTGCTTTCCATGTACCTCCTCCCCACCCCCACAGACCCACATTCCCGGGGTTTATAACCACAACAACACTTCTGATTCCAGTTACTATTCTGGCATCAGACCCTAGCTCCGGCTCTGTCCTCAAGAACCAGATCTGACTGGCAAGCACAGGGTTTAAAATACTGCACCCCTCTTTTTCAGACCTTAGGGTTGGGAGAGAACAGATTCCCGCCCCCCCCTTTTCTTTTCTTTTGGAAAGGACTATGTTGTGAGGCGGGACACTTTTCTTGGCCAGTGCTGGGGTTACTGGGGTTACGGGGTGGACAGCGCGAGTGGAGGCTGAGCAGGCAGGAGGGCAGGTGTCTCTGCAGTGTGGCAGGAATGGGGGGGGGTGCTCGGGCAGCTGCATTCTGCCGCAGTGTGTGAGTGTGCGCGCTGAGCTCAGCCTCCAGCTCCGCCTCCCCCCCCCCACCCCAGCATGACAAGTCATTTTCTTGGCTGGCTCTGCATGGGGATGGGGGTGGGGGGTGGGGACTGGTGGTGTGTGTTGGGGAGCAGCGGGGGGGGGGGGAAATGCCGGGAAGGAGAAGAAGAAACTGGCTTCTCTGTGCAAGAGCCCCCATCTTGAGAAGAAATGCAAGAGATGAGGTGGGGGTGGGGCTGAGCCAGGGGACCTGTGGGGTGGACAGGATGGGGGAATGCAAGGCAGCTACTGGGGAGAGGCTGGAGGGGGAGGGAGGGGGGGGGGGGGGGGAGGTGAGGCCCTCACAGCCCCAGACCCAAGCTGATCGCTGATTGTGGAGAATGGGGTGCCAGGGCCTGTTGCAGACTGGTCAGTCTGTAAAAGAGGCGCGTGCCCCGTCTTAATAACCCTCTCCTCCCTCCTTTTATCTTCCCTTACTTGGCAAAAATTCTCCGGCAGGCAGCTTCGCTCACCCCGAGCATGGGGAGCAGCTGGGGACCCGGCAGCTGACACCCCACAGAGCCTCGTAATGGTAGCATACCCTTAACACCCTCTTTTCTCTCACAGTCTTCACCCAGCCTCTCACCAAAGACACGACCCCCCCACCCCGACTCCTCCAGCGCCCCCAGGCCGCGGGGCACCACCAGCTGGCTGCTGTCTTCCACCCACCCCTGCCCAGCTGGAGAGGTGGCTGTCACAGAGCCGGTTTAGTTCTACCTGGCTCTGGCCTGACCCCCCCCCCAGCCACCTACACCCCACCACCACCAGAGTCAGCCCACCCAGCTGGGCTACTTCCAGATGCGCTAGATTACCAGAAATCCGCTCCCCCCCCCATACACACACATTTCTCTCTCTCCATCACAACACCCCCAGCCCTCGGCCAGGACCGAACCCTTCATTCCGGCTCTTACCCTGGGGTGTGGGAGGGGGCCCCTCATGGAGGCAGTGACTCCCGGCCTCAGCCGGCAGCTTCAGGAAAGAGTCTGCGGCACTTGGGGTGGGAGTGGGGGGGGGGG